TCGCGTGGCGGCTGCACTTCATCTGGCGGTGCTCATCGTAGCCGCCTCGTTTGAGAATGAACCACTCATGCAACGCTTTCAGTATCTTCTGGGCGGAGTCGTCCCATTAACTCCCGAGGCCCTTCAAAGCGAGGAGGTGAAAGAACGAGTGCAATCGGCGCTGGAACAACTGTCTATTCAAAGTGGCAGTCACCTGGCCCACCGTATTATCCACATTCGCAGTGGGACGCGTCAGGTGGTCAATGGACTTAAGTTCGTCTTTGTAGTTGAAGTGGAGAGCTCGCCAACGCATGAGGCGATGGATGCGGAGGACGTGTCCGAGGTCTACAAGGTGGAGATCTACGAGCCAGCCTCCAGAGGCGCCGAAAAACGATACACCTTTGAGAAGATTCCCACGAATGAGGCGTAAATCACTATCACTGTTTCTTTTTGTGTACTTTCACTTCTCTGTCCGGATGCTGCACCGTTTAAGGGAACGTATGATTCCTGTGCAAAGACCAATCAGTTTTCTCTAAATAATGTTGAGTTTTAAATGTTTAAATTTGTTGGTTGTTCTGTTCTTTCATGAGACAGGTTGCCTGCAGTGGGAAGTAGAAGAGGGATTTATGGCCGAAGTTGAGAAGGGTTTTAATTTTCTCACTGTATATCCAAATGAAATACTTGATTATTTACATATTTTAGTTGGGGCTTAAATGCTGCTTTTGCAATGCGGTTGGGCCGTGCACTTGATTTGTAGGGCGCGCGCTCATTTCGCGATCTGATTTGCTCATTTCTCCAATGGCACTACCAATGGGGATGGAGATGGGGTAAAATTAGTTTTATCCGGAGTATCGCTAATTGATGCTCTAAAATATGCTTTTAGATTTATTTTTCATGTAAATCCGTTACCACTGTCTGGATAATTTTGTATTTTCTTGTAAGAAAGCTTCGTAGTCTGACAGCGGAGTTAGCGTTTTAGGATGGCCTCCGTTCAAATTCTTAATTGATGTACGCTCTTGGGATATTTTTTGAGGTATTTATTTTTCAGCTTGCATATGTAGTGGCAAAGTGTTTTAACATAAATCCAAAAAGAACAAGCCTTTTCAATGCTACTTAGAAATTAGAGACCAGCGACTTCAACGCATGGCCAGTTCTTCCCAGCCGACTGTCATTTTCCTCCCAAAATTATCCAGCAGAAGTTATTGGTAATTTCTCCCTTTTGTAACCTTATAATCCCTTCCTGCAAAAGAGTATAACAGAAGTAGGGGGGAACAGAAAAATCGCGCCCGATTTTGTGTAGTCCTCTCCCCATTCATCCGTCGGCCGTCTGCAACTGACCCACGCCTGGGGCCATCTGCCCAAATGGCCAAGGCTTGTTTCATAAGATATGGCTGTGTGCATTTTGTGTGGTGAAATTAAACTCGTTTTCCCGCTTGTTGCCTTATTAGAAAACCTGGGAAGCTGGGATGCGTCTCCTAGTGTCACCGCGAGGTTTAGATGATACAAGGGCCTTTCCGGGGTCTTCTAGCCCCTATTCTAAGCTCATGGGCGTCATCGGGGAGATGGTGCAGATTGCCGATGAAGTGCAGGAGCTGTAAACAGGGTTGCCACTACAATAAGCTGGAGTTTCTATACCCGAGAGGTCTGCTTCTTATCAAGTGCGTTAGCCGGATAATCAACCGATAAGACTGCAAGTTAGACGTCTTTGCTGATTAACCCGGGTGTGTGCTCCTGCGGGTACGGGGCTAGATACTAAAACGTGTAGACTGCTGCAGGCTGTCAGGGTCTCCATCTGGCCTTGGGAACAAAGTTACTCGACCAATCAGAAGGGCGCAAGCAAGGGCCAAATTTCCAGAATGTTAAAGAATTCCCTTTAAGCCTGAGAGCTTATAGGACATTAAACAAAGACCTTTTTTACAGTTGCAGGCATCCTTAGGAGAAATATCGCTTCAAAATCCCCCTGTGACGGTGCCATTTGTGGTGCTTTGGTATTTGATCTCACCACTCGTCTGCTGGACAGCAATTGGCCAGACTCTTCTACTTTCTTAAGCTCATTAATAGTTTTCCTTGACGATACTCATAACTTCACGGTGCAGAGATATTAATTTCAATTTACTCGTCGTGAACTTTGCCCTCCTCCCTTGAATAGTGCACAATTTTGGTCACATAAAAGAACTCGCATCAATGTTTTTTTACTACATATTCTGTTTGATGCATTACTGAGCCTCAGTGGATGTCTGCTTCGAACACTTGGATTGCAGTCAGGGGATGCTGAATGCCTAAAGCTTGAAAGTGCTTCCAAAGCTTCCTACAAGCAATATCATTCATCTGAATGCGGCAGCGACTCCTTGAGGGCTCCCAAGTTAACCCTCTAATAAGTACCGCAAGTCTAGGAGGATTTACGAACCCGTTAGTCGAGGTCTAAAGAGCTTTGATCCCTCCAGATTGTAAGCAGAATGAAGCGTCAATTTTACAGTGCAGACTGAGGTGACGCCTCCCAAGCCTGCCAGCTTGGTGTTTAGATGGTCCTGTCTCCTCACTGGAGCGATAGGCAACACACCGACAATAGCTGCGCCATAGTGCGACACTTTTTGCATTACCGCACTGACTTAACTAAATGGGTGTGATTTGTGAGTTGTTTATCATAAAATTTGACAACACACCATCTTCACAGCCTGTTTGCAATGCAGGACTTAATTCTACCTTGAAGGTGTATGTTCTGGAGTCTATTACTTTACTCAGTGACATGAATGAAATGTCATGCAGTCGAGATTTTGACCGAAATCGGGCATTTACTAAAGCGTCTCTACCCCCCAAGTAACTCTTCAGTGGTCGTCTAAATTGAACCTGTCTTTCACAGACCTGATTTTGTGCAACTTCTAGATCCATCCACACAGATGTGTTGTCAATTCTCCTTCTGGAAGGGTTAAAAGTTGTAGCTTGTTTTCTACTGTCCAGGAGAGTTTACCGACAAATTAGAGAGAGGTAGCCCAAGCAAGATGGTATTACACCAACATGACGAATGAAAATGAGGTTTACGGGAGTATTATGTTCTTGAAGACCACTATCCTACTCTACCCACCAATCAGGATTTGAGGAAATTGATCAGAGAGGCAAAATTAACCGACCTGGGGCCCAATTTTTTACTGACATTGGGATGATTCATTCGAGTGAGTCAGCGATGACCTCTTTCTTACGACCTGATTGATTGGATGTATTCTGGCCCCACTTGATACTATGGACCGTTGCTTTTGCGGTTGGCATGGGCTAAATGCGGAAACTTGCAAGTACGGTGCTCTTTTTTGTGTTCTTGGCCACCTTTTTTATAGCATGAGCCCCCTTTTATTAAGCAATGTGGATTGGGGAAATAAGGTGAACGTAATTTGAGCTCCTTAACCTTCAAAATGCAGTTCGATTCGATTCCTATGCCATAGAATTTTCCCCAATTGTAGACACAAGTTGAAGCATCACCAGATGGCAAAGTTCAGTGTTAGTGATGCCATTCGAATAGATATAGGGCATAAATTTTGGCACCGGAGGGCAACCTTCTCAAATCGTTCTATGGTTCCAGATGAAGATCTATCGGAACCCCGTCTCTTGCTTCGAGCCCTGGAATTTAATTATCTCTATATTGAGAGCCCCTACAAACTGCAACGAGTTAAGTAAACCGCTACAGACTCCAAGGCGTATCAGCTCCCAACTGTGGGATTTTCATATGAAACTTTGATAACAAAATTTGTATTTTTCAAACAAAATCAGTAACACAAAGGGGTATGGGCAATTCACTGGGAACCCCCTCACCCACTCCGTTTAAACAAAACATTATTAACGCAATTAGAAGCAATTTTTTTAGCCATTGTAGGGTGCCCATTGCCGGTGTGAATTTGCTACTCGAGATAGTAGACAGGTCTTGTCGTTCCGTTGGATGGAAGAAAGATGGTGAGGTTGGACACTGGATTGCCGTGGAAGACCTCCCCACATGAAGCACTTTGCGTGGTTTGCACTTGGAAGTGATACTTTACTCCGTGAACATGCTGCTCAGTTCCGTTTAGAATCTTTTCAAGCGTAGAACATGGACTGGTTGAATTTAGGGCTGTCTTTACCAGCTCCTGAATCTTTTGTGACTCGAGTTGACCCTCACAGAGGGGTTTCGGAGGCTTGGGCACCTTGTGGGAGTCCGATAGGGCCACGAGGAGAAGAGTGAGTCCGAAAACACACCACATCACGTTTGAAGGTAGCAACTTGAAACGTATGGAGGGAGTATTATATACTCGGAGCAAATAATTAAAACCATTAACTGACCAATCGGAAGCTAAGTGTGTCTAAGGCCCGGTGCTTCTCAGCCAATGAGAGGGCAGGTCGGGTCAATCAGCTGGTTGGGGGTAGCAATTACCATGATATTACTGCAAAATTGGTGGTAAAAAAAGCTTTTGAAATGGTGGTACTCGAAACATCATGGTGAGAAGTACGCAAAAGAAAATAATAAACGTCATTCGTAGATAAATCTTTGAGGCTAGATTCATTATCAAATGCCAAGGTGCTTAGGCCTATTGAATCGCCCTTAACACCCCACCAATATATCCCCCATTTATATTGCTTATTTTACGTCTGACTAGCAACTCAGCTTAATTTTCCAGAGGTCTAGTCGTATTTGGAGCGACATCTTAGGTAGGAGGGATATTGTTGCATGTTTAACTCACTAACTTCTCAGTTATTGAGATACGCCCCAATCCAATTTGTTTGCGCATAAGGATGAGAAAAAAATTAAAAATTATTGGAATCATTGGGATTAGTTATTCTTCCGCTGTGATAACAATCGAAGGCGAAAAGCGACTGATACTACTTTTTGACATATGGCTTTTTGGATCGTAGCTCTACCGGTTATTCAAAGGCGATGGGACATTCCAAAGGAGAAGAAAATTACATGATTTTGAAGTGAAAATTAGGAGCAGCTGTAACGTCATCAATCCTCTCTGAGGTCACAAGAAGTCAGAATTTTGCCGGACAAGATATGGTACCATTATAAAAGAGGGCTGGCTCGAAGGCTATGGCACCTAGCGGAGGTGGGATCGCTGAAGTTAAACAAAGTACCAAAGAAGCAATTGCTTACTTGCGCTAAAAGGAGCTGGAAGTGGTTTAATGGTTGAAAAAGAATAATTGTTGGAGGACACATTCTCCAAGGTATCCGCAGTATGGGTAGTTATCATTCAGACTTGAATTAGGCTTAAGTTGACCGCTTTGACTTTCATTAATATAGTGCCTGGAGACTTGCTAAAATACGAACGAAGACATAGTTCTCGGGAAGAAGATACATATACTCGACACACGTCAAGGCTGGAGCTACTGGCTTGGCCTAACGACCACCTTACCCGGCTAAGGTATAATGGCAGAGTACCCAAGTGGCCCATTGACCCACACTGAGAGATAAACAAACAACTAGCGTATTACACCCGGCATTCAAAGTATGCCATAGTCCAGGATTGTCATTTAGAGTGATCTTTTGGTCAACAGGTCACTCTTCATCCCCTCCCCCTAAATTACTTGATTGGTTACCCCACGCATTACTTGGCATCTAGGGGGAGAAATCTACTACCACACCCCGCTGACAGTATATTCAGTGCCAAGTTATACTGAGCAAAAACCCAAAGAATGTAATCACCCCTAGACCAGGAGCATCAAGTCACAAATTTGCAACACCGGGCTCAGGCAAGAAAATAGGGGCATCAACTGTGGGCGATGCTGGCAGCAAAGGTATTGCTATTCATGACAACTCCTTACAACACCTGGTCCAAAATTCTTAAATCTTACAGAAAAAAAATTCTTCACCGATATGGAGTATTTTACAATGTAGCAGGCCTTGAAGAGTAAATTAGGTAATGGCTCAACTTTTTGTTTCACTCTCCGTTTTGGTAACGCGCCCCTTGGAGGCTCCGCCGTTGAACCCTAGCCAGGAGGTCTGACATCCAGGCCGTGCCAGTTGCCCCCTAGGTCGAGAGATGTATGTGACGATCTTGTCAGGAACAAATCTTTTAGCGGCTAACGAGCATCCTTCTCTAAAGCCATGAATAAATTTCCGGATACAAAGTCTGGGAGTCTCTAGGCACCGCCAAAGGTCATATAGTCAAGCCGAGATAGCGAGCGGAGGAGGCCGAAGAGCCGAAGTTGTTTAATATGCCTTCAAACAACGATCAGACGACGATCCTCTAGTATCAATCCGCTGTCCTCTCTGTACATTTTCTACAAAGCCGCATTTTACAATCATACATTTTATAACTTACTAAATGCGCTACATCATCGAGCTCTCAAGGATCTGGTTAACGCCAACATCACTGGCCCGTGATATAGTAACAAAGTACAATAATTTTGTTCAGACCTCGGAGACACAGATGACAATAGATGCTGTCAAGCCGACGCATTCAATACCACCACCAAAGCTGAATGTCCAAACTTTCACTAAGCGCAGACTTTAACGAGGGCACCGTACACAACGTGACTGTTTGAACTGTTTAACTAGTGGAGATGGATAAAATGACAAGACATTACTTTTAAATTTCGCATAATTATCAAGGCTCATTTGAGGTGATTTGATGTGTTGCTTACTTACGAGGGACCTCGAGATAGCACAAATTGTGTGTCCACCCTGCGGCGTGGCCCTCAGAGCGTAATAATATCCTTTTAGTAGGTCAGTAACACATGCCAAACACAGTGCTTTACTTTGTTAGGATTTTGGGGGAAGACACAGAACACTACACAGTAGTGCAATACCTGTTTGTTTAAATGTACTTTTTGGTGGGAAGCGGTCAGTTTACGCTAACCACATGACAGGCCAGATGCTTTTAACCACTTTAAACATTGACAACCTGTAAACTCTCATATGAATGCTCAAACAAGCGATGTCATACTCTAACGTAGAATGTGTTACAATAGATCATTTACGGCAGAACACACAGGGCAAAATTAGAGAAATTTACGAAGTTCCTTTTTTGAAAATAATGCAGTGTTAAATTATTTGCTTAACTAGCGGTTTTGGGAAAGGGTTCACTTTGGGTACCCACCATTGCACTGTCGTCAGAGTTCTAGGAATCCGGCTAATGTCAGTAGCCCCGATTCCTTCTGCGTGGCGGCAATACACGTTCCACCCAAGTAATGTATCTCCCACCTTTAAGGTAGTTTAGGAATGCCACACTTTACAACGGTGCAAAAAATTGATCATAAACTAATGACATTTAATGAGTTATTTCGTATGTTATAATCACAATGAGGAAAAATTGCGCCCAAACATGAGGTAAGCACCAAAAAAAGTACCAGAAAACGGTGATACTTCTTCAACGAAGTGGTGATCAGTGAGTATGTTAATTAGAAGTATGCATTATTGAAGACACAATCATCAGCTGGAGTTTGCGGTTAATTTTAGCACTATTGTCTCAAGAAAGCATTTATGCAAGAAATAATATTGTTATACATCTCCAAAAAGAAGCGGTAATAAGGATGGCTCCTAATCCACCAATAAAAATTAAACACATTCGTGGCTTTGAGTTTGGTAGCCCTAATTGTACCGCTCTTTGCTTTCTACCGAGATGGTGAGCGTGGCTCATTTTTCTTTGGAAGCGTGTTTGAAATGTCTTCAAGTGTTGAAATTGGGGATTATTTACTGTCTATAGTCTACGCATTAGTCGTAGGATTCAAATAAACCTGTTCGTTCTGAATTTTTGGGATTTGAATCACTAGTAAGCTTCCGAGTTCTAAGTATTCTTGCTCACTTTCATAACCAAAGGGGAGTAGGTTTCTGTCCAATTCATTTTCGATGTTGGGTTTCACCCGATTCCTGTCTTTGTTGTCTCTCTTCACAGTTTTATCGTTATTTCCCACCTTATTGCACATAATGAAGGAATTTACTTCCAATTATTTATTTCATTAACTTCATTACAATCAATCGATGCCCTATTGATGGTATCTAGTGCCTAGATTAGTACAGAAAAGGGACAAATATTGCAGGGCATTAAAGATGATAGTGTTATTAGGCTTGTCTGTTTGATTCGAAAGCATTCATCTGTATGCTGCGTAGTTAAGGCCTTTGGAGTCGTCTCACTGACATCTAGCAAATATCGACTAGTAGTAGTTTTGGCGTAGTCTCATCCTCTTGATTATTTCCTGAGCGTAAGTAGTAAGCCAGCATGATCTGTTTACTCGTTTCTTTAAGTCAAACGACGTATTGGAAGAATTACAGCGGTACAAGGAGCAGACCAAGGTGGATGGTGAGACCCTGGTACGAACGGTCTTTCCCAAACGCGTGTTTGAAATGCGGGAGCTCCTTGCCTCGAAACTCTTCAACTTCGGTAAGTTATTTCTCCTCTTATCTTCTTCATCAATTACCTCTTTTCCATTCATTAATCGCCTCACCGTTTCACCCAGAACCCGCCAGCGTCTACCAGAAAGTCAATTTACCCGTGCCTCTGACTGGGGAACAGAATGGTGTCCCGGCAGCAGGGATGGGTATGCATCCAGATGGTGATAATACGATGCAGAAACCTCTCACTGGGTCGCCCGTCTTTGCTTTCCCCGGTGGAGTGGTATCGCACAACACTCACATTAAAGCCATGATTGAAGCAAGTATACAGTTCATCATTCCACCTTATATGATAGAATTGCTTGGGGTAAAGGGATGTTCCGAAATTTGGAATACGACTTCTTTTTAATTTAGCTATATTAATCCGGGAAGTGCGACCGGAAGTTGCCTTTGCTTGGAAAACTTTGCCAAAATGAAACCCCTTTGTGCCTTAAACGTGAGAACCGCTGCTGACGTTTTGAGGTTCATCATCTGTGAGTATCAAGGACCTGAGTGAATTCTGGTTCAATGCTACAATGATCGAACAGGTTTTCCATGTTAGGCTTGACTTACCAGCATTTGCCCAGGCTGCCATGTTTTGCTTGTATTCAGAAGGCTTGATCCTTACTAACAACCACTCACGTTTGCTGGTGTTCGTGAGCCTAGCATCTTGTAACATAGATGAAATCTCAGAGCAAGCCACTTGATCCACTTATCCAGTCACCCTCATCAACGCGTACCCTTAAAATCCTTTTAACAGCTACTCGCTCTAGAGGAGTTCATTTGCTTTCCCACTCCGTGTTTGCAACGGTTTTTTTGAGTGTTTATTTTTTGAGCTTTGGATGGAAATCATCTTAGTGCTATATTGCTCTAAGTAAATCAATTTGTTAAATAAAACATTGTTCTTTATTGTAAATTCAATGAAGTGGAATAATAACGGCCAAGGTTACTAAGCTCTTTTCTATCCATTTTGCGGTAGGATTGCCTGAAGTTGAGTAGATAAATCTGCTCTTGTAACAGATTTCGGTTGAATTCGCCTTTTAAGTAAATTAAAATGGGAGAAGGGCTATGGTGATGTCACTTTTTACCACCCAATGCTTGAAGTTTTGCAGTTCCTAGGAGTACTTGCCCTTTTCGGTGAAGGATTTCTGTAGATCAGTCTAGTATTCAATAATCTGTTTCTGGGTGGTAGTTGAATTGTACCCTGAAGAGCTACAAATAGGCTAAAATCCGCTCTGATACACCTATTCAATTTCTTTAAGAACAATATTTTTTCCTAAACCATCTCGTTTTTTTTTCTAGCTATGAAAGCCTTCAACCCATTACTGCCATCAGCTTACGTTTTTGATGCAGTTCATCCTCGTGAACTTTGAAACTGACCTTCAGCCTGAATAGGCACAATTTGCTCGAGTTGCATTTGGCTTTCAACAGTCTGTGATTGGCTTAATGTATTTTTACAAAAAATTTATATAATTGAAGATTGGTGTGGTTGTGTTGAAATTGCCTTTAAGGTGGCCCCCGGTACTCTTCACGTTACCTCCGAATTAAAGCTACTTATTGAGATGAACCTTGTAGTGTAAAATGACCGTTCCAGGACTCTGCTTTTCGTTGAATCGGAGATTATATTCGTTGGATTGAACTTATTTATCTATTTCTACTGATTGGGTAACTTACGAGTCTCAATTTCTTCACCTGTTAAAAATTTTTTTTCCTATTTGGTAATTTCGACTTAAACTAAGTATGTCAATTCGATTTTTTGCGCAAGTTTACACACTTATTCTTCCGTTTATACCTATTTTGTCTTTTTTGACTACGTGGCTCCTGTTAATTTGACTCGTTTGAAACTCTAAAAGCAGTACTGAAAACTGCGTTGCTTGCCAGGCGCTTTCCGGCGCATATTGTTCTTCTTAATGCACACCACTTTCCTCGAACATTCTATGTTATTGTCATTCTGGATATGCTGAAAGTCAGAGCTTTGCTCACTAGCATGACACAGTAATAAAGATGCCTCTCGGTTATCTTGAGGGGATCTATCCACGAGGCTCTCCGTGTCGCACTTCATTAGCGAACCATTGACGGAATTTGACGCATGTTCCATAGACTTTTCTTCGAAAGGAATCGCCCCGAATTCAAGTCTGTTGCAATGATCTTGACAGGATGATGTGACTTTGTTTATAGCTGTCTTCTCCCATTTTTTTGCAGTCTCAGTTGTGCTGTACGTGAGAGGTCTGGGCTTTATTTACTGGTGACTGGAATGCTAGGGTCTTTATAAAAATGACTGCGATGTATCATTTAAGGCAAATATCGCCATGATACCTTATTTTAAGGTTGAAAACTTGACCAGGCCCTTGACCAGCAGGTCCTTTTTTACACCAGTCGTCCTAAAATCCAAAATTATCTAAATCATTTGATTGCGGCAGTTTTTTCTGGATATGCTGCGCTCTTTCGTCTGCTTACAATTATTATCTCATTCTCAACTTTCATTGTTGGGAGGAGTCGGAATTTCGGGTTTCGTGTGTTACCATAAGGTGGCGAAAATGCATCACTGTGAAGACGATTTTCGATTTTAGAAGTGCTTATTAATCTTGGTGGGTGTAACTTGTTTTAATCGTCATTATTAATAGAGATTATTTAGATAGTACAGGAGAGTTTCCTGGTTTTAGCATCCTGATTGTACATCTTAGATATCTTTTAACGTCTGTGGGTAAAGAACTCCGGGTTGTACTCGTCGTTGCAAAGTCTGATGTATAGTTGAGTGGCAGTAACTTCTTGTCGAATCGTCCCTGCCATCCCTGTGTCAAGTTACTCAGCGTGACCAATCTTTCTCCTTCCTCCCTCCGGTTAGGCGACGAAACCCCATCTGACACAGCTTATGGTGGAAGCCCAGCTCGTGCGGATGTGGATCCAATTCAACGTACCGCGCATCGAAGATGGCAATAACTTCGGCGTGAGCATTCAGGAAGATGTGCTCTCCGAGGTTTCGGGTATCGAGCGCGATGCTCTCACCTTTCTGGACCAGTTTACTAGGTTAGTCAATCAGTCGGGCTTGAGTTCAAAGGAGAGCGGGGCTAAAAATGTAAGGAAAACATCTTGAACAACGTCTTCTTCATGGTTTTATATTGGCTGCATATATTTAATGCCTTCTTGGCGGAGAGCTAATTTCAAGACTGGGATTAGCTATTCATGAACATTTGTTTTCGAATCATTTTCCTCTGCCTTTATCGTGATCATGGCGAAGATAACTAGGTGGTGTAACAGAAGGCTGAGCTCGTATTTTCTAGGTTTTTGAAGGAGAATCTGGGATTCATTCCTTCCCTTTTCATTAATTCACCTCGCTTTGGGTGTTGGTCGCTTCTACCCCATATTTCCTGAGGACGAGTTCGGCTATGAAAGTGTACGGAGATTCATGCATTTTTACGACCTAACTAAAGTTTTGTCGAAGAAGTTGGTTTTGATTTCCTCTTTTACTAGTCTGAATGGGAATACGTTATGCTTTCTGTGTGGGTTTTCGTTGTGGTAATTAAGGGCCCACTAGCAGTAGCCAAATAGTCCCGATCTTTCATTAGTCTTCTAAGTCTTCAAATTGAGCTGACTTTGGGAGATAATGTTCCTTTGAATGTTGATTTTATTAAATATTTGGTATCCGAATCGAAATGTGTCAATTTTCAAGCCTGGATAGATTTCACTTAGTTAATTTGCTTGAATTAGCTAATATGCTATTTCATTTTGTTTTTTTGTGGGAGAGTTTAATTTAAAGTCACCTTTTAACCTCTAGCCGACGTTTGGCGGTTAGGACCATCATAAATGCTCATTTGAGGATTGTTTGTCTACTTTGGGTCTGCTATTCACAGTAGATTGAAGAGGTTTGTGACCTCTGCCATCTTACTGAGAAGCGGTCTTCTCTTTAGAAAGCAGCTGTGAGTCACTGAGAATTCGTTGATTCCCAAAATTTGACTCTTGCTAAGATACTGTGGGGTCCATCGACTGATGCGACATCAAATGTAGATTTTTTACTGAAGTAAATTTTAAGATCATACTTCAGCTTATCTACTTACTGCGCTGTGGGAAGTAGTTTCATAAGTACTCATTTATTAAATGAACTATTTTTCGAGTTAAGTTGGAAAAGAGTATTGCATGTACTATTATCATGGAAGGGACCCTTCTTTTCGACCAATTCAGGTCATTTTTGTTATAATACACTCTGGAGTGTGTTCAATTTTGACATCTGCCAATATTTGTTCATTTTGCCCACGTAATTTAAGTTACTGCGCAAAGGCGATTCTCTTGTAAGTTCATATTAGGGTCGAGATTAAGGTTGGGCGACATTCGGATTATCTTCTAATGAGTGAAAATCCTGCGAGAATGTTTCTCAGGTACTTTGTCATGGATTACAACCATGGGGTCGGTTGAATATCAGTTAAGGAGAAGCCCGATCATAGTATCTAGTATGGTGTCTAGGGCTGCTTTTGGAACAAGGTTGGATTTTTCATCAAACGTGTACTTATTTCGTCATTTTCTATGAAATGTTTATTTTTTGCCCTACGTAAATATGCAAGAGATGCAGGCTACTGGACAGTCCTTCTATTGCCCCATTGTATGCAAGCTACAACAAGAGGGCACTCATTTCCACTGATTCAGTTTAATCAAAACAAATCTACCTCATTGCAAAAGGCAAACATCCAGCTTTTACGTTCTGACTGGTACCAGAACTCGAAAAAACCCACCCGTTTCTTCATTATTATATGTGTTCTTTTGATGCGTTTTGGGAAACAAACGCGCTTTGTCTTGCCATCTGGTGTAGTGCGCTACCGAAATGCTTTTTTACCAGCTTAAAACGGTTATTTGGCTCCCTTCTGCAAGCCGTACCCCCTCCCATCTAGAGTAGACCTGCAATCCTGCTTCGTTCGCAGAGTTTGTGCGAAATCGAGCTTGAGAGGTGATTGCCATCCCTCAAAATAGTATATCTTTTTATGTGATAGCATGCGATTTCGGGTCACGCGTAAAGGAGCTCTCACCGCTGATTAGTTTGCGCAAAACACGGGCTTTTCTCTTCAACTGACTGAGAAGTTTGACCACTGAGAGAAGTTATGTAAAATGCAACGAATTTCCTGAAACATTAAGCACCGCCAAAGTTCATTTAAGCCTTCAGCTTGAAGTATTTGCTTATTCCCCCAATTTAGGGTTCCGTTGGTCTCGTGTCCATTTTCTTTTCCAAGTTCTTTAACCTAATTTTGGTTAGCGAAGCTTTCAAAGGTGCTAACTGATTCAACCAGATGCTTTGCGGTTTGCGAACACATCGGGATGGCGAGGCTGCACAAAATAGGGTGGGGGCGCGACGAGTCAAGCCTCTGGCTTGTTGCGCACCGGATTTAAGGCGCCCTCAGCCTTGGCGAAAGGCATACCAAGAGTGCTGAGTAGCTTCTTTCTACCCATTTATTTTGCAAATTTCTTTATCGGACCATTTGGAGCATTTTTTGGGGCGACTCAGTGGGTTTATGTCGGGATATCGTTATTTGTGACGCTAATAGATGTGAAACCTAGGCGGGCATGTGTTTACTGTTCAGTGTTTGCTCTTTGTTGCAAGTTAAAGTAGGAGCTAACTACAAAAAAGTGCATTTAGGCGTTGATTGTCGCAATACCGATGTAATTTCTGGTAGACGGCCAAGTTCGTTAAAGTGGCTGGTAGAGCCGATCCGAACTTGCTTGGAAGATAATCAGCGGTAAGGCATTTTGTGTACTGGTTGACCAGGCCGTAGCTTGAAATGTGGTACAAGTAATGAAAAGTGTGCCCACCAGGATCAAAATGTTAAGGTGGATGGCAAATAAACCAGGCTAGAAGGCAAGATACCGTAGCTTAGTTGGAGCTCCTAGCTATCTTAGTTTTTAAACTAGCTGACGATTGGATGAAATTTGTGGGATGGATGGGCATTTTGGTAACTCCAAGCTGTCATTAGGTAAAGCATAATGGGTAGTTTGCTTGTCGACACTTGCCACACCTTTCTACTTTGGAGGTTTTTTTCACGGCAGGATAGCGGTTGAGCTGCAAAAGTTGAGGGCTTTCACCCTAGAAGTCGTGTCCTCGGGTAGCTTCATTCCCCTCCACCGTGATTTGTAGGGAGTTAAATCGGAAGTCTTGGTCACAGAATCGCGTTTCTATGGACAGGACTGAATGTAGCTGACAGGACAATGCTGCCACTGGTATTTTTTTACCATTTAGTTAGGGGAAATCGCCTTTCTGAAACCTTTTTTTATCGATGCTGTGGTAACTGCTATCTCCAAATGGCTGACACGATTGTTTTGACTCCATGAAGCTTGAATAAATGTTTCCTTGCGCGTCCTGTACCCGCTTTGATGCTTTAATTGCGAATAGAAACCAGGTGCTTACAGTGCTTTTCGGCCTTGCAAGGGGGCCACTTCACTCTGAAAGTGCCCATTGTTAGGAAAGGCGCTAAACACTACTAAAACCAGGCGGGAATTGCTGATAGGTTTGTTCGATTGCACCATCCTTGGCAGCTTTCGTCTTTGAAAAAGAGGCGTCGAAATGCCAGACAGTCGTTGGCGAGTTGGCATTGACCTTGATGTTGTCTCTCTATCGTCGTGCAGGTACTACGCCTCACGCGGTAAGCTGGTGGGGAAGGCGGCCAAATTTCCGCACATCGACGACTATCGCGAGTGCATCCGCGACATGGACGAGAAACAGGCCATCTCCATGCGCTACGTCATCATGGAGATTCGCAATCACTACGTAAGTGCCATCTTCCTCCCCTCTTCCCATTGTTTGAACTTTTAACTTCCCGTTCCCAGATGCGTTAGGCATCACTCTTGAATTTGGCATTGAATTAAATCTAGTTGACTGAATTTTAGTCACGTTCAAATATTATTTTGAAATCCTGTATCCTTTTCCCCTCTTCTTGGACACGCTGCATTTGCTAGAGCTTTTTTATCAGATAATCCATTTATGTCCTTTTTCATTTATTCACCGACTTAGGCGCAGTATTGTCAGCTACTATAATGTATGTGAAAGTAGGAGGTTCTCTTTGAACTCAGTGGTGAATCAGCAACCAATATTTACCTGTGGTAGACTTTATTGGAATACGGGGCTGCCATTTGACATCTAGTAATATGTTAACTTGGGATGTTGAATGACCTTCCACCCTTTTTCCTCGGAATTATTGCCTCGCCTTGGAAGCGTAACGATAACCTTAGTGAGGGCGGTTTTAATGAGTTGAAATGGTGTTCACCTGGGCCAAGAGGACCAGTGTTTGATTATTCATTGTTTGCTGTCGCCTCGTGATCATCATTTATCTTACCTCTCCCACCTTAAACGTGATGACTCATTCTCAGAGTTAAGGTCGCGGTCGAAACATCTCTTGTAGCTCTGGCTAAATCTCTCCACCTTTAATCCCGAATTCTTGGTAGGGGGGGAGTTGAACACAGTCGTCGAATTCAATAGTAGATTAGCAACTAGGTTTAGCGTACGGCCGAGAATTGGTTGAACTCATTTCAGCTGTCTTTGTTTAGCATTGAAAACTAGGAGCTGGGTTAAAATTGTGCATAGGCGGACGTCTTTTTCTGAAGGAGTTTGCTGGCACACACATTTCCTGTTTGGAATTTCAAAGACAAAATCATTGAGAAATGAATGCTAGAGAATTCATTCGGGTGTGCTGAATTACTTTTCAGTAGCGCACATCTGCCTGGCAGTCGTATTTAATAGCTGTTAATGATCACTTTCCTTGATCCTTAATACGACACGTAGTGTGAGGAACGGTCTCCTTCACCGAGATCCTAGGTCTGTGCCTTTATGCTCATGAATTCCTGGTGGAGAGTGCAAATCTTGGTGCTAGCTTGAAATTCCACTGATCTGTCGAGGTATGCTTACCTCTGGTTTCTGCCTTAAATGGCGTTAAGGCAAGGCCGACATGGAACGATTATTCAATAACCACTTGTCCTAGCAAAATACCAGAGGAGTAATGCAGTTTGAAAATACCTTAATTTGTTTACACAAATGAGTCAACACCGTCCTTCTTTTTCTCTCACCCCCTTTTTAGGCAGTCCTGCACGATTTGATAGTGAAAAACCTGGATCGAATCAAGGTGCCGCGTTCCAATAACACAATGACCATGTACTAGAATGTGTGGCATAATTGAACTCAGGAGGCGGCGTTCACTTCTTCACGCCATCTCCCCATCCCCCGTCCCCATCAGAGATCATGATGATGGCGACACTTTGTATACCTCCAGTTGCGAAACGACAAAACTCATTGGTACCGCCCAATAATAATAACTGCCACTGTAGTTGTGCTCTCCTGTCCTATTTGCCCTCCGATTTTTTGGTTGCTTCTTTACGAGTGCGTTTGTGGTGTGATAGAGACGGTTTTGGTGGTTTATTAAGAGGTGTTGGCAACGGCACTGGGAAACACGCTCTCAATTTAGCGTCAAAATTTTGTTTGGTTTTGCATGTCGATTTTGATGTTCTTAATGCTGGAAGATGTAGACGGCCCCTCGGTACCGCCGGTGTGCTCTTTGGTTACCATATTACTGATCCCTTAAGGTTTTGTAATCCAGCGGTTTATAGTTAGGTGTGCTATTCTTGTTTTTCTTGGTAGTCCTCGCTAATCTGTGGCGGTTTCACCTAGTTAGATCCGGTCATGGGGAGGGGGAACATTCCCTTGCTGCTCCTACCCGGCTTCAGTGCGTTCGCTACCAGAGTGCGAGGCGAAAGTTCACCACCACACATCAGAGGTCTTTCTTTACAATTAATCTTTTTTCGTATTGCTTCATTTACTGTTCGAAAATCGGGAACATCACCCACCCATTTTACTTTTTTTTTTCAGCGGAAGAGATGTGTTTGATAACGAGCACGTGTCCACCTATTTGTGATACCAGTTTCATATAAGAAAACTCAATCGTCACATATATGCGACGCTGGTAGCGAACGTGGCTTTAATGCCGTAAGCACCCTTTTTGGTAATCGTTTCAACGATTTGCTAGCTTCCTGTCATCTATTCATGTTTGTGCAGCCATTCTAAATGCTAAAACTACGTGAAAACCAAACTTACTTCCCGCCTGTTGAAATGCGTTTTTCCTTCACAATTCGCGAAGCCCCTGTTCGGCATGCACGCCCCCCTTTAGGCTTCCAAGAGGCACATGTGTATTGTCGCCAGTTGAAGGAGTGTCAATCCGGTCGTAGTGAGTCTTTATGGAGAATGTAATCAGCTAAAAGGCGAAATCGAGGGTAGTCATTGATAGCTTCTTACCATGGACCGCATGTGGTATTAATTGAATTTCCAGAATAACACCGGGGCACCGTACTGCCACGTAGAAGTACAGCCTGTGAAGATTGACGCGTCCGTGTAACTAAAAGTGCGGGTAGAAAAAGAGGTCAAACTACCCAGGGTAACGTGATCAGGGAAGTGTCCGAATGGGAAAAAACACGGCGAAGGTGTCCTAGGCTATCTCACTACGAAGTGGCGTTTCTGCGGATTCACAATCTTTGAAAAGCTGCATCCGCCTTTTTTGCTACAGAGGGGTTGGGATGGTTTCCACTTTCAAGCGTAAGGGGTCCAAAGAATATTTAAGGTATAATTAGGGATTGGAATGACGCCGGCTTTTTTCCTTGGGAAACGATACCTGGACACTGCCATCCCCGGAACTTCCTTTTCGGACTTGAAGAAGAGGATGTAATTTTGAAAGGTAAGTTTTTGGAGCTGTCAAACTTTAAATCCGGACATTTTTCATTTGTTTGCTGAGTTATTTGCGATTGGATTAAGTGATCTGCTTTCAGGGGATACAAACAGGCTGTCACTGGATGTACAAAGGGGCTGGGTCTACCGTTGCGCTTCACGACTTCTCTGACGATGGAAGAAAGTGTAGTACTTGGGGCGAGTGCGTATTGCCGACGTGGAGTGGAGCTGAGCGGACTGCTGGCATACTCCGGAAGCCATATTGCCCAGCGGAAGTACAAAGATGGAAGCTTCAGTGGTCGCAAGATCAAAATGAAGAGTTGAAAATCCATTTGAGTATTGCGTAGCTGCCCTCTCTTCTCTCTATCATCCTCCTCGGTGCTCTCCTTGGTCAACCTCCCGCATCGGCTATCACAACATAGTTGATGCTGTAGGGAAACATGTCCATGAATCAACCACGCCAAGCATCGAATTCGCGTTCAACTGAGAAGGTATTTGACTGCAACACCACTGATCCCTCCACTGGATCTGGAGTTGCGTCCTGTTTTGAAACTGTATTGGGGGAAGAGAGAATGTGCCGACCATCATGCGTGTCCATCGCCGGTCGTAGGAACACTGGCACAAAAGGATGAGGTTTAGAATAATTTTGTGGGACAGGGTTACACGTCTGTTCCTCCTTGCCCCCTCGTTCTCACTTCATTGCTGCCCAGCCACAAATCTATCTGGCCTCTATTCAACTGGTAGAGAGGTGGAGAAGGTTTCGTGTGTTCACTTAATTGACTTCTTGATGCAGGTGTTGCAAACAGTTCCGTAAAGAACTCTTCGAGACGGTTCACAGCCAGTGCTGCCTCAGCTGCTAACAGCATTCCTGCCCAAGACGGGACTGGGGCGGAAAGGAGGAAGACGAGGCGATACCTCCCTCTTATCCTAAATTTTCGTGCAAGCTATTCCCAAGGACAAGTTTTGCGATTCATGGTACAGGGTTTCGTGTTGTGTCTTGCAAGATGACGACGAGGGCTTTCCTTGAACCGATCCCTCCACAGAATATGCATCGAGTAAGTATACCCCTGCCCTAATTGTTTGACCTTCAATCTAAACTGGGTCGTGTGCGATTGCGCCTTCCTTACACCACACGGATCAAGGGCAAACATGGTCTTCTGGTGGCGAATCAATGGATGTGCTGGAAGATGGCCAATGAAATGTCCGTTCAGTTGACAGCTGTTGCAAAAGAAAACGTCATTTTCCATCACAAACTGACCAGTCAGTCAAATCATGGCTCGTTTTTGCAACAGACATCGAGGTGAGTGATGAATATGGGATTGATGGTCTTGGCAACTTATTGGCGTGTGTTAGTGCATGTAGTTTGCATCCACTGGCTCAGCTTCTGCATTTGCGTTGAAGATTACGTTACTGAAGGTTGGTCTTGCCACGTCAATCTTGAAACATTCTAGCCAATGGGAAAATGACTTCATTGTGGCGCGGAATAGGCGGTCCTCCTCAACGTGGTACATCAACTGCCTGGTTGTTAACTCTCCGAATCAAGTTTTTTTGAACCATTTCTAGAAGGTACTTCCTGCTAACGCTCACTGCACCTGACGACATCCTTCTTCTGGGTAGGGGCCCGGTTGAACTCTCCGTAGGCGAGGCGAGCTAGAACTAGGTCATTCAATTGGTTGAGTAGGTCGTGCTCAAAGTTCGTCTCCAATTCTCCCAAAATTTCCACAGTATCTGTTTCCACTTTCAAATCCCCTTTCACAGAGCATGTGAAATGAATTTTGAAAGATTTGATTCTTCGACCCGACAAATTCAGATGCTCCACCCTGCCAAATCACACATGGTTGGATGGCACTTGAATGCAGAAGGACAACTGCATTCGGGAAAGTGACGGGCTTGGTGAGATTTTGGCAAGAAGTGGTGGAGGCATCTGGTTTGCATTTATTTCAAGCCTTACCTCGGGTCGCTTTGATTGTCTTCAGGCCCCGCTGCACGTAATGCTCGACCAGTGATCCTCCCTTTTTGTTGTGATTCAATTAACGAACGACTTCACGTGTCACTAGTAACGAAAACCTTTCTGGGGTGGATCGAGGACATATGTTTTCGTATCCATGTCAGGTCCAAAATATCCGCAACTTAGGTGGACTTGTACCGGCTATAAAGTAATCAGTAGTATGTCGGTATCTAGAATACAACCTGTCGCTACTCATTTCAAATTAGTAGCTGCGGTACAGATCTTGCTTACTTGGCCACATTCGTAAGTTCAATTAGGTTGGGAGTTGACAGGAGGAAATTGGCAGTGTTATCTTCCACTTTAATGGTACTGCAGGTGACTTGGGGCTTGCCTGCTCAGTTCCATCCACTTTGACAGCATCTCTCATTCAAGATGTTTTAAGTGGATCAGGCAATGCATTGCTCAAAACTACCTCCGTAAAACCTAGCAATCTTGTTTCCAAAACTTTTGTGTTTACTTACGTAAGGTCATAGGCTTATCACGAGGAGCAGAATTGGTGGGCAGAAATAAGGGAGGTAGTTGCTTAGGTCAACATTAACAAGTCCGAGTTGGCCTAATCCATTTAGGGAATCCAGCGGGCACAAGTAAACAACGAATGGAGGTAATGAACCAAATTTATACATCAATGTTTGTTTTTCTAAATCTGCAGTTAAAACCACAAACAAGGAAGTAACCTAACGCCAGTGTACCATTCAGTCGTGTAATCACTGTGTACACAAATGATGGGGAAAGCGGGCGCCCACCGTGACAGCAGACTGGGAAGTGAGGACTCGTTTCCAGCATCTTTGAAATGCACGACTGTCGACGCTAAACCAGGTCCGAATGAGGCGCACTGGTGCCTACACCAAAGAAGAACTTAAATTGCCCAGTTACTGAAAAGTAACTCTAGAGATGTTTGATTATCCCAAGAAAACAGGCATTCAATTTCGTGTCTTCACCATCATCAACACAGTTATAAGTCCGTGTCCGCAGACCTTTTGATTGGTTATTTATATTCGATACTCTTTTGATTAAAACAACCGGTTTGGTTGATGTTTTTTCCTGATATCTCTACTTCCTCGAAAGCCAAGGCGGAAAGGGTTGGCAGTCTAACCTTCCCTTCCGCCGTCTCACCAGAACTGGGGAACCCTCCATGTGAAGTAAGGAAGGTTGCGCAGATTATTCCATTATCAAACAGTATTTGGGAGTAGGAATCTCGTCTCTCGGGCCTCTTCAAAAAGACGAAACCTAGGGTCTGCGTTCATTATCCTTCTCGAGAAATTGTTCGCTGATGGCGAAACTATCTCTAAACTTCACGTCCAACTCTTTCTTGAAGGTCGTGCGATTGACAACCCGTTTCTTGGCACCTTGTGTCTTCTACGCTAGGACTCGAATTTGGGAGAAATTCTGTCTCACAACGAAACGAGGTCGAATATCTTTCTTTCTCGATCATTGTGTGCTCTAGTCAATTCAAGTGCCCATCGATGAATCCCCTTTAATCTTCGTGACCTCTTGTTCACGGCCATGCCAACTAACTATAGGTTTGATTTGCCACCCTCTCGTTTGACTAATCGCATCACGCCCTTGAAAAGGTCGCGTGACGCCGGGTGGTCGATACTTGCGTCGGCGACCTCGTTTCCCCCACGCGGTGCCGCCTCCCCCCGCGTCAATGAAATGCGCCTCTTCCAGCCTGATGAAATGAGTGCATACACCCTGAACCATCGCCAAGTTAACCTCTTGTCAACTACCACCACCACCACCGCCAATATCACCGGCAACGCTGTCAAAAGGAAACGCCTGTGATGTTTGCAATTCGTTCCTCCGAGGATGCAGATTGCAAAGAACTTTACCAACAGTCAAAAGACCTTCTGAAAGAACACAACGATCTGGGAGATGACACGAACATAAGCGCGGAGGGGTTCATGTCTATCCACACCGAAAAGTTCGTCCGTTTTCAAGTTCTCACATCGAGAATAGACGAGGTTAAAAACGCTAAGGTAAATGAAGAGAAAAAAGAACGTGAAGGTGAAGGAAGAAGGAGAAGTAGGAACGAACAAGGGTTAGCAATACCAAAAGAGCAGGTTGTGGGCTACATCACTTTCGCCGAAGACTACGACCTGCACTTTGGTGGGAGAGGTTTCCTAGTCGACCAATTCTTCATTCGCGAGCAGTTCCGTGGAAAGGGTCAAGGTCGACGCCTCCTCAATTGTATTCGTGCGGAGGCGAGAAAGAGGTCAATGAAATACATCAAGCTTTTTTACCAAGAGACGGCTGAAAGACATGCAATCTACTCGCATTTGGGATTTACCAACGTCTCGACATCGCCTCCTTTCATCCACTACTTCGAGGTGTACGGTCCGGAGGAGATGAAGTCGCGCCTGAATATTGATGTTTACGAGCCGGTGGAAGAAGACGTCCGCACACTGCCAGTAAAACCGGGAATTGACGTGTTGCAGTATGCCCAAGCGCGCGACGCACAAGATGGACATGGGCGTCTGGGGCTCTTATTTAGCTTGTCCGCGGATATTTCTGATTCTGACACGCCTTCAGCGGGTCTCATAGTTCTTATCCAACACTCGGTGCGAATACACCCCCTTCCCGGTCTCTTCGAGGTTCATTCCCTCAAACGATTCTTGTCTCAACGCGGAATATTTATTGACGATCCACCTCCGAGCCTGTGGACCCAGATTTGGAGTAAATCCCGCAGTAGTGAACACCCGGTTGAGGAGGATGTTCTCATCTGTGCGTTTGTGGAACGACCTACTGTGTGCTGTTGGCTGGGACATCAGTTGACATTTTGTAATTTTGCGGGCGACTTGCAAATGATTTCGAAGGAGCTGCTGGTGCGACGCATTCGAGCCTGGTCACCCAAATGGGGACCGGTGCTGGGCGTTAACTTCGAAGTTGCTGGCGGAGAGACGTCATGCCCCACGGATTCGAATAATGCGCTGGTGCGTTTGCTGAACTCGCTTGGTGTTCGGGAGGACGCCAGCTGGAACTGTGCCATCATGCCCGAGGAGAAGATTCGTGAAGGCGTTGAGAACTAGTGGACTTGGCGGTTTTTTATTAAAAATTTGGTTTTGTTGATCTCAGATTTATTTATGCACATGTTTTGGTTACTTTATTTTGGTATTTATAAAACTGGTTTTCGTAATCGCAGTGTTCTTCCAATATACTGCTTAAATTTTATGTATTATCATGAGTAGAGTGTTTCTGTATAAATTTAATCTTGGATTTCTTTGTGGAACAACCTTTATTCCTTATTTTGAGTACCGGAGAAATTGCGCACCTACTTTTGATGGAATATAAAATAATTTTCTTTGGTATTTCGCTTAATCTGATTTCCCATTTCATGCTTTATTTACCCCATAAATTCGCCTTTGACGGAATGGCAGCAGTTTACTAAAGATAAATGAGTAGTATCTTAGACCTCCAAAACCTTTCATGCAAAGGGAAATAAACTAATAGGTCTTTTTTAGGTTATCATGAGTACTATGCAAATTTTATTGAGGTTTTATTCAAGTGTAGTGTCTGGAGTCTTTCTTAAAGAGGGAAGAAGCCAATACTGCCAGGGTGGAATAAGTAGTGCCGATGTAAAGAAGTGCTGAGAGGCTATTGTTCAACCAGGAGAAGTTTAAAGAGGAGGTTCGAGTGCCCACGAAGCCAATATGAAGAGCTAAACAAATAACTAAAGTAGTGCATAACTCCCCTCTCCTCCTTTGGGCGTCTTCTCTGGTGCTCCCTTCGCTTAACCCCCTGCGTTATCCATCACAACGTAGTCGGTGCTGTCAGAAAAACAACCATGAGCCAACTACACTAGCCATCGGATTTCCGTGCAAATGAGAAGATATCTGACAGCAGTGTCACTGGTCTCGTCTGGGAATTCTACTGGATCTGGGGTTTTATCCTGTTCCGGAACTATTTTAGGGTGGCGGGAGTGGAATGTGCAGGCCATCGCATATGTTCATCGCTAGTTGTAGCACATCGATTCGAAAGCAGAGCTACATAACAAAGGACGGAGCTTAAAAGAGGTTTGTGAGGATGAGGTATCGCGTTTATTTTTCCTTTTCTCCTTGTCACTTCAGTGCTGCCTAACTATATCTGTCTGCGTGGGTTCCATCCTGCCAGTAGGGAAGTGAAGGACGTATTTGACTATTTAGTTGAAGTCTTCATTCAGGTACCGGAGAGAGCTCCGTAACGAACTTTTCCGGATGGTTCACACCCAGTGTCGCTTCAGTTGTTGATGGCATTTCTGCAGAGCACGGGACTGGATGGTTGCTACAGGTGGACATATAGATCCTCCCACCCGCAGCAGATGCTATTTCTCCGTCACGGCAAGTTTTAGCCCTTAGTTATTGTCCTTTAGGGCGGGAGTGGGTTGGTTTCCAATGCCATCAGGACAGCACTCCAAGTTTTCCCTTAAGCTGTATGAGTTGTTAGCATGGCAGAATGGCTGAGCGACTTCCGACTTGGCCGGAGGGATGATCCGCTGAGCAAAGGTTCAAATCTCGGAGTTCAAAAGACGATGTAGTCGTCCATCTCGATCAGTCTGTTTTCTGACTATTTAGCGCCATCAGAGTTGCCAGGAGTAGATGATGATACATCATGGATCTGTGACCCCAACGGCGGGTGCGTTGATGCGGGCAGAACATTTGACGGTTAGTGGGTCCACACTTCACCAGCCGACAAGTCCATCTCCAAAGCGAGGTATTGGGCATAGCGACGATTTGCTGTCTCCTCAAGTTACGAAAATGCGACCAGCAGAAGGTCGAATGCCCAGCTGAGGTACACGATTGGTGTAAAAGGAAACGCATTCGTTGGCAATGAATGCCCCACCACACAGCGTTACCTTCCAGGTGAGTATTCAAACGCGGCCTGAGTAATATGCCTAGAACCTACATCTACTTCAAATTCTGCATACATAAGAGGAGAGGTTCCTGCTGTTTTGAAACCGAAGTAAATTGATTATGTAAAGTGGACAAATTTGAGGCATATCTACAGGATTTGGAAGAAGAGGAATCTATTAGAGAGTACCATGCCGAGGGGTGAAGAAACTTAATCCATGATTTCAATGACCTAGAATTTACAAGTTCCTGCAGCTTGCAAGGTCATTGCTATGACCTCTAAGGCAAATCATACTTGCTTGACATTTAAAATGCTAATGAAATTTGCCGACAGTGACACTCTTTCTGACAAATACTTTGTGAATTCGTTTATTTGAAGGTAACAGGAGGGAAAGGAGTGTTACACCTTTAGGAAAAGGGCATAAACCACCGTACCCATGCCAAAAAGTGATGTGATCACATGACATTCGCGAACCATTTGCAGGAATCCCAATTTGAAGAAATTGGTATCCATCCTTCCATTTATTCATGAATCCACCCACTTACTCACCCGTCCACCCTCCCATCCACCCATCCATCCGTTCATCATGCTAGTCTACCTGAGTTCTATCCAGCTACTAGAGAGGTGAAGGTACTGCGTGCTCACTTCATCAACGTCGCCGTACAGACACCGTAGACGTCTCCTTAACGAACCTTTCCGCATGGTTCACTTGTTAACAATGATCTTGGAGAACACAGAACCGAGACAGCTACCGTTTTCAGCCCTTTTATTAGATATCATCACAGATTTCCTCATTCGCATCTCATTCCCTTCTTCTACTACACTCAATTTTGCCATTCAGTAGTGAAACTGGGGTATTTGTCTTTACGCTTTACGCTACTACCAAAGTAGCGCCTGCTGATAGACGCACAGAGGAATAAAATGCCTGACTGACTGATTGAGTGACGTACAGACTTGTCTTGAGAAATGGTCTTGGAATTCCGACACTCCTAGAGTGTTGGTTATCCTCCACTAATCACTTCATTCAAGAAAGACGATGCTTCCTCTGTGCATGTGTGCGTGACAGATTCTGGGCCCAATTGTTCACTTTCTGAAGGCCAAACGATTGCTGCTAAGATTCATACGTTTGATTCATTTCGAGGTAACTTGAAGGCGAACAACCAGAACTTCCAGTACAACAGCCAGTTTCAACCAACCAGGTGGAACTGCTTTTTCCGTTTGACGAAAACACCTCAAGCTCTTATGCCTCGTACCACACAACTCACTTCGTACTGCAAAACCTCTCCTCGTCCTATTCCTCCGAATTCATCCAATTGCATTTTTCTAGGCAAAGCTTGTCACCTTTTGGCAGCGGTTACACTAGACCATCGTGTTTGATGGTGGAAGGGGATACGGAGAGGCCTAGAGCTGGACATTATCGTCTTTTAGTGTTGAAATTGGCAGTCAAGTCTGAGGAGATTCCGGCGGTCATCTTCTGTTTGCCATCTCACCACACATGCACACACCGGTATGCGATGATCTAGGGTATTTGCTTTGAGAAAGCATTTCATTTTTGGACAAAAATTACTCCCTGGGACAGGCGAAGGCCGCCGGTTAGCTTCATCTTCTGTGCACAAGTCACCTAATTAACAGGGGGGCCTACTTTGGTATGTAATTGGTACTGTCTGCTATTGGCTTCACCATTTCCTGTTGTTCGCTATTCACAACCGCTGCTAGCCAAACGAATGCATTTTCCACCATGGCTAGAGGCTTTGGAAAGAAAGTTAGTAGTGGACTTAGTCGGGTCTCAATTAAAAAAAAATGTGAAAAGTTGCTTTCACGGTTGCGTTTAGTCGGGCTTTTCCGCTGCCACTGCTAGGTGCGAACTATAAGACAGAAATTTGTTCAAAGCTTCTAAGTGCCAAATCACATGACTTCTCTGAGTTTCTGCAGCTCCTAAGGCCTAGGCATGACCAACATTTGATCAGGGCAGTCATGCGCAAAATTCCATTCCGGCGGTGACAAATCAACCGTTTTAAAACAAAATACTGACTCGATTTTTTATTGCTTCTGTTTTGAGTAACGAAGTTTAGATGCAGTGGCTCAATGACCACCTTGTAACGAGGATTTGCCCCTCAATCAGACGTCTACTGACAATGAACAGGTGGTTCGTCGCTCGCATATTTTGATATCGAATATGAATGTAGAAATGGCATGCCGTACGATGCGTTATTTGACTACCCAATATGGCGGTGTGTGGGTGGATTGTGAGAAGAGTTATAATCCATCCAATTATTTGTGATTGTCTGATCGGAGCCCACTTTGATGTAGACGTCACCTGCCAACGCACATTGTGCTTTTACATAGAAGTCAGCCTTCAGCAGTCAAGCCTCGATGTCTTCCACTGTCATATACTTGATTTCACCGTCACTAAATACCATCACCCATGCATGCCTGTATTTTTATGCATGTGCTCCATTTCTAACACGAAATAAATACTTCGACAAAAACTTGCATACATAAATGTGATGGAAATTACCACACGAATTTAGGGCATCTATATTTATGCACACATATATATATATATATATATATATATATATATACGACGTACTTACGTAACGACGAC